GCATCTAGGAGAATCTACATGTGTTTCTTTCTCTTGAAGCTGTGGGGAAAAGTCCAGACAGTTCATCGCTCTGTACTTGGGTTTCACAAAAATCAGATTTGGCTTCTCTAGTAAAGTGCTTTTATGGTGTCATTCTCTCACTGCAACCTGAGAAAGTCCCTGCAGGTGGCCAAGGGGAGTTGGTACACCCACCTTTGGGGCTTGACCCACTCCTCCAGGTCACCGAGGTCAGCAGATGAGTCTCACTCTTAACTCCGCTGTGGTCATAAAGAGGGCTGCAGTTTTCAAAAGCCATCCAAGGAGACTGTCCTTCCTGCAAGTGCAGTCTGCCTGTGAGTCTGCTGGGCAAGGGAGAATGTCATGAGTTAGACAGGTGATTTGAGATTGTCCTCCCATAGATCAGAACCATTAATCTCCTTCATGAAAGCTCTCTGAGGCAAAGTTAAGTTTCATGACATTGTGTTCAATTTTAGACACTAAATGCCATTATTTGAGGAACATAAATGTGGTTTGTCTTGTTTTACAGATAGAGAAAGGTAAGTGGGTTCTGTTCTCACATGTGGATCCTGAGTCAGGACTGCTTCTGTCTCTCCTCCAATTGACTCTGTGATTATAAGAAGAAAACACAAGGGTCAGTACAATGAACACAACGTACTTCAGTACGGGATGCACAGAATGTTTGAAGAATCACTGTGCAGTGGAGATAATACACTTGGACACTCAGGGCTGCATCTTTTCCTTTCTTTTTTTGAGTCCAGGATGAATCCACTTCTGTCATAGTTCATTTAGGGGGGACCAAATTCTCCATCTGGCACTGTTTGGTACCTCGTCTTGCTCTTCGCTTTTGCAGCATGTGGTCTTTGAAGTTTGAATCTCAACCTCTTTCTGGACAAGCACTAAGTTAAAAGGCAGCCTTTAGGGTTAGGCAGTGCAAGGTAAATTTTCAGCCCTATGAGCAGGAACTCAGTTACATGACTTACATTACCATTAATGGGGGTCATGCTGGTAAATTCCTGTACACCACATTGCACATTTATTCATGAGTGCGGAATTGGCACAGCTAATGAAACTTGCCTTTCGGGTAGCTTGGTGTTTCAGGAGATGAGTGTGACAGGCAGAAAGGACTGCTAAGTACCCAGATGAAAGTCTGGCTTTTAACTCCTTGAACATATTTCCAGAAAATGATAATGTGAGTTAATGCTAGTTAGTGTTAGCTGTTCCTACTGTTAGGGATCAGTCTTGCTCCAGTAGGATTCCATCGAGGCAAAGATCAGACCTGAAATGTGAATGTATGTGCTGTCATTTAGTGTTGGCAATTCACTTTCTTGTCTATTTTCCAAGTACTGCTTCCTGTTATTTATTTAATTTCAAACACAGGGCGGTCCTCTACTACCTTCCATAATCAGAAACAAATTAAGTTATTTTTAATAATTTTCACCCCTGCTCCTTTCCAAAGATGGCCCCTCCTATGGCTGAGCATCACCTGACAATTTCCAGCCTACATTGCACAAGGGCATCTTATACCCATTTGTTCCTGTGCTGTGTCCATGGCAGTCATAGCATCTTCTCACTTCCCCAGCCTGCACTTTGCCAGGCCAAACAAAGCAAGGCCATTTTATCAGTTTGGTAAGTTAAGTGTTCTGTTGCCCTAGCTGTGGTTCTGTGCATCTGCTCTGGTTGGAAGTTATTTTTAATAAATGAAATCAAAATTTCCCACATTATTCTAGCCTGTTCAGTGTCATAAAATTTCCCTCATACCCGTCTTTTCAGCAACCCATTGCTGTATCACCTTTTTTACCTTTTAATCACACCATGGTTCATAGTTATTTTGTAGTGAATTAGTAGGGTGGTTTTTACTTACTTTTCATCATTTATAGCTGATGATCTCTGATCCTGCAGTAGAAGTTCTTGTCATTATATCCCAAATTTCATGTTGTGCAAATAATTCTCTTTCTAGCACTCAACTATTTAGTGATTTTTTTTTTTAGTGTATGATGCACTAATTTTTAATCACCAGCAAAATATATTTAGTATTACTCAAAATATTAAATAAATAAAATCAGTTTCATGATTCAATTCTGAAGGAACTTCTCATTTAGGCTTCCTCTGTTCCAATCTTTTATTTATTTCACATGGTTTTGGTTATAAAGTATTCCCTGTGCTAGGTGCCAAAAAGATGAATAGTGTAGTACTTGCCATGTATAAGAGAAAAAAGAGTCCATGTCACATAAAATCACTCAGAAAATCTCTCTTTCCTTTCCCAGCAATATATTCTTCCACTTTGGGAAAAACCTGTTCTGTCAAGCGAGCCTTGTAACAACATGGTCAGCAATCACTACGTGTTTGAACGAAGTATGGTTTGAACTGCCAATAGCTGTTTTCATTCACCAGAATATTCTGCTGCTTCTTCATCACCTTATAGTTTTGTGTCATCATCAGAGCCGAGGAGATGCCAGTGATCTGCGCTGCAATGAACAGTCAACCTCTAGAGAAACTCTTTGCAGTGTTAAATAAAAGTAAAAAAAAATAAAATAATAGCCCCTGCAGTTCGTTGACTGTGAAGGAGCAGCTGCAAACCGCTGAATCTCATCAGGTTGCAATCTTGATTAACATTGGGCAGATCCCCCCTGCTGCGAGAGTAAATACCCTGCCTTTGTCCAGGCTCCCATGTAAGACACAATAGGTTATTTCAGTGAAGCACAAGAACGTAAATGTTAATCGCATCATTCCTCCAAATGAATAGAAGTAGCACCCAGAATGTAAACATTTTAATTTTTTGGAAGGAAAAGTCTGCCTGTTTGTATTTTTTCATTTACTTTGAAAAGTTGCTCACTCAAATTGCCATCATTGTATATAATAACATTTTCAGCACTGCAAATACGTACACTTCCTGTCTTTCCAAGCTGGACAATTCGGAGAATATTGGAAAAAATGAAATCTGCCTCAATATCACTCAAGAGAGGTCAAAACCTTATATTGTGTAACTGCCAAACTATGTGGTCACTTTAGTTTTGGTATAGGAAATGGAAATTCTTTCCAACTGGAACTGACACCAGGAAGCACCTTTTTTAAATGTTGCTTTTTTTTTCATTGGGATAATTACCCTTAGAAATAAATCTGTATTTCTTTACAGATGATGAAAGTGGCTTTAGGTATTTTAGCAACTTTATGTGTGTACAAGTGAAACAGAAAGAATAGGCCTTTATCCCCTTACTGCTTCCTTGTTTGCTGTACAAATAAGAGATTTCAGTCTGCAGTTGAGCAATGTGTTTTAAAGTGAGCATACAGCAAACTACAGTGTGGTGCCCGGCCATCTTCCGTTTTCATATGGTTACAACTGTTGTTGGTCAACACATCATGAAAATATCTCTTGGCTTTCAGTTGTGCCACGTGCCTGGTCACATCCTGGTGACTTCACTCGTGTAGTTTTTTTTCCTGTAGAGGAACAGCAGCAAAGCCAGGGGAGTTCGGCTCATCTCTTCTTTTGTACCCATAAAGTCCTCAGAGATCCCGTTCAGTCCCCATGTGTTGCCTGATCTAGTTGAGAGGCGTCCCTGCTGTCGTGGGTTAGGGCTCAAACCCAGGACACTTGCCCATGACAGGGAGGTTGGATTAGATGATCTCTAAGGTCCCTTCCAGCCTAGGCCATTCTATGATTCTGTGATCCTGCAGCACCGGTAGATTAAGACTCGGTAGTTCTCTAACATGTAAACATGGAAAATGGTTTTCTTGCAGAATTTACTAGTTCTTCACTAAGGGTGCTATGCTGCTGTTTATACGTGCACCCTTTTTTAGCACTCATGATGCACTTCTCCACTGGAGAAAGCTCTCTTGACTTTCTGCATAGCAAATGCCATCTCCCGTCGGTCTCCTCATCAGTTATGGAATTAGTGGAGCTGAAGGATGTTTGTGTTGGAATCACATAAGTTTGGTGTCTGGGTTGGATTCCTGGTCATCCCACAGGCTTTCTATTCTGTCAGGATCTCTGGATTTCCTCAGGTGTTGTTAGGTGCTGAAGTGGGGAGTATGACAGCTGCCAGCAAGGTGATTGTCAGAGCAAGCCAGTAAGAGTGGAGATATGAAGCTGAGTGTGCTAGTTCTAGTTTTGTGGCCCACGCTCAACAGGTCACATTGTGATTGCATGGCACGAGTTTGCTGCTGCTTGGGTGAAGCCAGAGATGAAGGAAAGCCAGAGCATTTTTTACCACTCTAAAACACACTTTCTTCCCATCTTCCATGCACCACCCACGGTGTCACTCTGCATGCCTGGACTAAAGCAGCTGCAGGCGCAAGCTCAGATCCATCTGTTATTTTTGATTGTCCAATGCCACAGGTCACTGACCTCTGTTCTCTTGTGACTAGAAACTGGGGCCCTCTCAGCCACCTCAGCAATGAGCAGTGGTGTTCCTTGCCCTCACTCTTGTAGCTGGAACAAGCAGTCTTCATCTAAGCTCCTTCCCAGCCATCAGACAGCCTTTCGCTACAGCTTTCATAGACCCAGCACTCAGTTTCTGGTGGCCCTGCTGCTGTACGCCCGTCAGAGACAATTTGATTTAAACCTTCAGCATCACTTGTGATACTACATGATTTTATGGTTTTCTTTCTTTGGGCAAAACCAATGTTAAAATTCAAGTGACTTCATTCTCTTGGGATGAAGAATTGCAAAATGAGCAGAATTTATTAAGAGTGTGCTGTGCAGAAGTAAGAAAATACCTCTTTGAAGTGATTTGAGCCAAAGTGGTTCAACAGTGGAAGAGATCAAAGCCACTTTGGACCATGCTGTCTATCATACTGTATGTGTGGGGACTCTCTTTCAGGTCATCCATTGGGATTTTTTCTTGCCTAGATGTCATAGGTCAAGTTAACTTCTGCTATTTTGTTTACGTGCATTCTGCTATTTTAGTCCGCTTAGGGGGATAGGAAGAAGTATGTTGCTGAACCAGCATTTAAATCTCATGTGTACGTAGCAGTATATGATGTGTGCCATTTATTTCTTGAAGCCCAACATTGGGCGATTAGGAATTCCCCACGGACCTTCTGGAGAGAAGGTGGCCGTAGTGACTGTGGACGACTGTGACACGGCCGTGGCTGTGCGCTTCGGGACCCTCATTGGAAACTACACCTGCGCTGCCCAGGGGACTCAGACCGGCTCGAAGAAGTAAGGATTCCCTATATTTGCACTTTCCACTCTTTCTCTACTTGCTGAAGAGAGTCAACAGTATGTGATCAACCACTATGCAAATGAAGTCGGAAAAGTAGACGTGATTTAACAAGCAAAAGTAACAAGGTTTAGTTTGGCAGGTGGAATTTGTTGGAGGCTACTACTGCAAGTGTCAGTACGCTGGAGGGAATGTGCAGAGTTTGTGTAGATACAGACATGTGCTAAAATTACTTGTAAAACGCAAAAAGAAAATTTCACTGTGGATGGCCCCCGAAAAGCATCTACTCAGTTTGAAAATGTAGGGAGAAGGGCAAATAAAATGTTAGCTTTATTAATAAAGGGAATGGCTGAAGAGCTTATTACTTCCATCCTTTAAGTTACAAGTCATGTCTTAAAAGAAAGTAGAAATAAAAGAGATACAGAAAAGGCTACTGAAAATTGTTAGGTATGAAAGAAACTTTCCTGTGAGGGAAGACCAAAAAAGATTAGTACTTCTGAGTTTAAAGAGGAGATGGACAGCAGGCAACATAGTGGGGATATAAAATCATGAGTGATATCAGAAAGACTGCTGAGATACACGTGCTGCTCTAAATTCTTGAAGAAGAGGGGGCACCATAAAAATTAGAGCTAATTCAAACTGAACAGGTGATACACTTTTCACACAGTGTGGAGTCATTCAGTAGAACCTATATCCACCAAATGTTAAGACTAAGATCTTTAGAGGACTTTAAAAGAGGTGGTATAATAATTAAGTCGTTGTATCAACATCTACAGCATCTCAACCCTTGTGCAGAGGAGCCTTTGCGTGTCTGGAGTCAGAAAGAAATGTCCCTGTGGCTGCACATTTTTCCATAATTTTTATTTTCTTCTTCATGTTAGCCACTGCCAGAGATGGGTCATTGGATTGTGTATGTGCATGACAGCTCCTAAGTTAAAAGTTTTGTTGGTTCTGAAAGGGCCTTTTGATTACAAGCTCTGGACGTGCTGATGTAGCAGAGGGAGCGCATGGCGGCACAGGTGAACTAAACAGCTCAGGTGGGCTTAAGGACGCAATAAGATAAAGAACAAATGGAACTACGTACAAGCAGTGATGAGCATTTCTTTGTTTCTTCAGATCTTTGGACCTAACTGGCCCTCTCCTCCTTGGCGGTGTCCCAAACTTGCCTGAAGATTTCCCTGTGCACAACAGGCAGTTTATTGGCTGCATGAGGAACCTCTCTATCGACAGCAAGCCCATCGACATGGCTAGTTTCATCGCCAATAATGGCACTCTGCCAGGTATGATTGATTACTCAATATGACAGAGCTCTCTGCCATAGCCGTTTTACTCCTAAATGAACTTTTCTTCTTTTTTTAAAAAAAAACAACAAACCAAACCCAAAACACTATGTCACTTTGCTCTGAAAGCCATTCATGGAAAAGGCAATGTTTTTAATGACTTTTTCAAAAATCGTGTGTGTTCTGTAAATCAAATCCTGCAATCCTCCATATCTGAAATCTGCTACATGAAGCAGCCTGTTGGAGGTTCTGATTTGATTTCCAGTCTCTGGATGCCTAATCAGGGCTACTTCTGGTGTACAAAATGTTCTCAGCATCATAAAACTGGCTCTTACGTGCAAGAATCGCAAGTCCCTTCCTTCCACACTGCTGAAGATCTGTGTAAGCACTAAATTACAGTGTTTAGGTATGTTGCATTGTTTATGGGTTAAGAAGGGTGTCGTCACATAAGCTTTAAATTACTATTTTGTCTTGAAACACTTTTTTAACAGTTATATCTCTAATATTAGTTAAACTGAGTTTATCTTATGCAAATATATACCAGGAGGCCATGAAGTGTTTTCTTTAGGACAGATTTTTTTTTTCCTCATTTGGAAACATGTTTCCATATAGTTTAAAAAAATGATTCCAACACAAATAATCCTATGATTCTGTAATATATAGTAATGTTATTCCACTGTATAACAGCACACATTGGCTTTCCCTGGCTGGTATCTCAGTTAGATGACAGCAAGTTGCAAACAGTGGTAGTGAGTCACAGCAGCAGTGGATCTCCCTGTCTCCAGCAGTGGATTCCAGGGGAAGAGTATAAAAACAGCACAGACATTCAGTGATATTTGCCCAAAGTTTTCACTTAGTCACCAGAGATTTACAGCTCGGTGACTATACTTAATAGTCTTCGATAAATTTGTCTTTATGAACTTGACACTTGCTCAGCTCGCATAAACTTTTGCCATCCACATTTTGCTTTATTGACTTAAGGGATATTTAAAAAAAAAAGGAAACCTATAATGCTCATGTCTTCTTTTTACATAAAAACTCAGATACAGTATTTCAGAACCTTTTTGTTAAAACCATGCAAGGTGACTGTTTTCCTGAATTTCAGGCTGTGCAGCACAGAGGAACTATTGTGAAACTAACTGGTGCCAGAACGGAGGGACATGTGTCAACAAGTGGAACACATACATCTGTGAGTGCCCCGTACGCTACGGAGGGAAAAACTGTGAGCAAGGTAGGATGCAAAGATCTCTTCACACGTAGTCATGTGTGCACGTTTCACTACCCATCTGTAACATCTCATAGCACATATGTCAAACTGTGATGCTGAAGGGATAGGTAACGGAAGATTGCAATTAAGAGTAGAAGTCACCCATTATCTATTTGAAATAATTTTAGAGATCGCCTATATAGTAAATACGATAGCTGACATTCTGTCATGAGTAACAGCAGCTTTCATTGATTTAATTACATAAGCAAAGTAGTTCCACAGAACTTGGCAGTATTTCATAATTTGTTTATAGTAAAAACTCCTGATCTTAAGCCCCTTTAAATCAGTGGAAAGAATCCCGCTGACTTTATTGGGCTTTGGCTCAAACCAGGGATGAATGTGCAGTTTTAATCACCACTTTCTTGGCAAGAAGGCACTCTCTGCTGAGCATGAGCACTTTCAGTTTTACTGAGGTTTTCTTTGATTGAACACAATATGCGTATATGTGTGAAACCTCATTAATAAAGGATGGGGAAGGAGCAGCAGGTGTGTTTTACAGGGCATGAAGACCTTGCAGTTGGTTTCTTCCCAAGGAAGCAAGAAGTTGTGTTTGTGAGAGGTCTTGTGGGGTCAGTGCTGCTGTAAGGTGGCACCACCATGTCCAGTGGAGGGTTGCTCATTTGGAGTCTTCCTGGAGCCTTCAAGGAAAGAAAACCTACTTAAACTAGGCACGGCTTTCTTAAAAACAAAAGGCCAATTTCTGACCCCTGATGCAGATGTCTTTGTGTCCGTTATCCCCCCCATGACATTTAGTCCAGAATAATTTGGACCATGATCAAGGGTGTGGATCCTGAAACAGCAGGTCTCCAAGCTGAGGTGCACACACCGCGGTGATTTGCAAACCACTTTAGCACAGTGTGCCTCAGCATGGGCCAGGCAGAGGTGGTGGCAACTGCGCTCCCCCTTGCCTGAGAAGGAGCAGCTTAGGGGGAGAGGACACATAGTTAAGTTTCTGGCTTAGAAGTAAGGGTCTGCAGGGTGAGGGACAGGGGAGAGGAATGATGGAGGCCTCTTCCTATGTTCCACTTCATACAGAGCCCAGAGCTGTCCCTGGGAAGGTACTTGTGTTTTATAGCTGCTCCTCAAATGTTTTGAGCTCCCAAGTTTGTATGAATATCTGATTTTTCTATGGGTCTCATGTCAGGTGTCTTTATCAGTGAAGTTCTCGAGTCTTAATGATCAGCTGGTCTCTGTGGTACAAGCCCACGCTGATGTCTCCCGAGGGCCCAACTCTGACGTGACCTGTGCTGGGGCAAAGGAGGAGAAGGACTATCACATGCAAAGACTGTCCTTCCCTCTATCTTCATCTTAATTTTGAAATGGAATTTCAAAATTCAATCAAATGTGCTTTTTACTCATCATTTTTTTATCCCAAACTCAAGACCAAAACATCAAGTTTGGGATGTAGAAAACCACCTCAGAATTGCCCTGTAGCCATCACTGAAAACTCATTTTGATACAGATGATGACAATCACGGCATCACTGTCTCCCCACACCTCAGCGGTTGCCCCTACCTCCCGTGCTGTTCGTTCCTGCATGTCCCCTTTGTCATTTGGTAACCCCCGTGTTCTTGCTGTTGGGGATTTTTTATAGTTAGAGGGCAGCAGGCTCTTGCTTCTTCGATGAAATTTGGCTGTCAAAGTGTCCCCAAGGAAAAATTGCAAGTAAAAAAAATAAATTAATTGTTCTGAAATGTGACCAAAGGTTTCGGGAGCCTGAAGTTAGAAGTCAGGAGGAATCACTGATATACAATAATACTAGCTTTTTGGTTGCTCAGTTGAGTGCTCAGATACGGTCCTAACAGCATTAGCTATTATTAGGGAGCTATTTTTAAAAAAATCTTAGTGAGGATATTTGCATTCTTGTGTAGGAGTGATTGGCTGATACATTTTTTCAGTCCCTTTGGCAGTGCTGGATCTGCTTCAGGCTCACAAAGACTTTTTTGATTGCCCCTTCTTTGGAAACTGGGATCACAGAATCACACAGAATCACAGAATCATCAAATTTAGAAGGGTCCTCTAGCAATGATCTAGTCCAACCCCCCTGCTAAAGCAGGATTGCCTAGAGCACATCACACAGGAACATGTCCAGGCGGGTTTTGAAAGCGTTCAGAGACGGAGACTCCACAGTCTCCGTGGGCAGCCTGTGCCAGTGCTCTGTCACCCTCACAGTAAAGAAATTTCTCCTCATACTTAGGTGTAACATCCTGTGTTCCAGACTGTGCCCGTTGCCTCTTGTCCTGTCATTGGGCACTACTGAAAAGAGTGCAGCTCTATCCTCTCTGCACCCACACTTCAGAAAATTATAGACATTAATGTGGTCTGCACTAGTGAGGATATCGTATTTTACCTTCACCATGCTCCTAGGACCTGCTAACTCACTTTCTGGCAGCTCCCATGTCACTCTGCTGACATATAGAAGGGAGATAAAATTACAGAAAAATTAATTTCACCTTTATTGTATTGTTATTCCTGTAAAATTGAGATATTGCAGTGCTGGGAAGAAGATCTAGCAGCAGTGCCCAACTTGCTTTCAGATGGCTGACGTCATTGTCCTAGCCTGGGGCCAAACACCACAAGTTTGCACCAAAACATAAGCTGTCACGTGTCCCACACCCAAACCACAGGTGACAACCTAATGCTGGCATTGTGTTTCCCCAGACCCTCTGTCTCCACAGTGAATAGTGCTCACGTCTTTCTGATGGACTTTCAAATGGAGGTGTCTCTTGAAAGTGTATGTAGATGCCAAGCAGCACTTAGTGACAAACCCTGAGAAAACAATTAGTTTGCATCACTGCATCACAGGTGGCAGGGAGATGCTGTACTTGGAAGTATATGCGCTCACCTTCGAGGTGCCAAGGGTGGTCGGGTCTCGTCTGGGAACTTTGGACGTGGCCACCAGCCACCTTCAAGGAGACGCTTGGTCTCAGCTGTGGGGAAGGGCTCAGGGGAGGCAGAGGTCAGAGAGACTGATGGATGGGGATTTGTTTTGCTAGCAGGGAAAGGTGCTCCCTGGCCTCAGGGAGGGGAGGGGAGCTGGAAGGAGGTGTGGGAAAGGAAAGGTATTTGCAAGCATGGAAAGTCACCAGTGGTGAGAAAAGGAAGAAGGTGGCTAATTGTCATGCCGATCCAGTTCTCCCAGGAGCCAAGCTGAAACGCTTGCAAACAGCATTCCCAGCCTCCAGCAGGTGGCAAGCCCGCAAGGTTTGCATCCTGACTTTGCTCTCCAGAGGCAGGTGGACTTAAAAATCCCAGCAACGGTCTAGAAAACCACTAACAAAGAAGCTGAGGTCGCTGTGAAGGTCAGCGAGGTAAAGGAGAAAGGAGAAGGCTGACTTTTGCACATGTGGAGCAGGAGGAAATGATCCTCCTCATCACCGATGTCCTGGTTACTTTTACATTGATGCTGTGCAGTGCAGGCTAATGAATCATGCCCTGGCGCAGTGAGCCAGAGCTCGAGCTCTGGATTCAAGTTTTAAGCAAGCTGGGGACATTTGTGTCTGTTGGCAAACCATTTTAATTGCTGTCTGGATTTCAACAGCAGGTTAAGCTTCAGTTGTTCCACCATATGCCCCTGCTGGCACTCATGGAGGACTGAGTATGACTGCAAAGGGGACATAACAGCCTGGAGCAGGAGGGAGAAGGGTTGCCCTTCGGGGCTGCCTGGACTTACCTCGGGGTGATTGAGTAACACACCTTAGAGAAGGGCAAGTCAAGTTACACCTCTGGCTTGGCTGGTGGTAGTCCACTAGTCGCTGACATCTTGTTATTCACAAATAGGGGGCTAAAGGTCTTCCAACCCCTGCACTCCCCTCAGCACAGCCTTTCCCTTTATAGAGACCAGCAAGTCAGACACAGCAGAATTTAGGGTTTGGGTTTTTTTCCTCCAAAAAATGCAACTTCACGTCAACCTGACTCCATCTTCTGCTAACATGTCACTCCTTTACCTTTTTCTAAGGACTTGCCATTTGGAAGTAACATGTACACGTTTGTATATACATGATCTCTCTACCACAAGAAAATCCAGACAAGTCAGCAGCTAAGTTAGTGTGGAGGAGAAGGGGAAGGAGACAGTTAAACCCTGTCATCCCACTGACCATGTGGGCTCAGCGCATGACAAGGTACAAGGCTGGGTGCTAGTCTGTGGTGCTTGTACCTAGTCTCTGAGACCTTCTTCCACTTGCAAAAAAAGTGCCATGAACTTCACCAGCATGGCCGTGAGTGAGGACAGCAGGCAGGCGCTGACCGCAGATCCCACTACAAGGGGCCATGATGGAGGTGCTGCTAATAGCACACAGCTCCCACGGACAAATTTCTGTGTCTAACTAGTGGGATCAACTAATCCATGATACTACAGCTCCTGTTACCTGAGTTAACTACTTGAAAAAAGTTCAAAGGTAGGTGTTCCCCTATTTTCCATCAGCGAAGTGTTTTCCATTGAAGGCTGTCATCAGTGTCTCCCTGTAGGAGCTGTGTTTGTGTGAGGTTAGAGAGGAGAGCAGCTCCTCAGCTGTCACCTCGAGATATTTAAGGCAGATGATTTAGGCAGTTCCATGCAAGCTTTCTCCCTATGAAAAGGCTACATAGCTGAGACAGCTAAATAATTTGGCCCTGGACTATTTAATACTAATTAATATTTCCTGTTGCCTTCCAGCCTTTTCCTCCATGTTTAATCTGTTAATTAGAAGCAGGTAATCAAGGATATGTTGAAAACATCCACGCAACTGTTGCCCTTGTATTTCCTGCTCTGTCCACCCACTCATCAGCAGAACTGTATCAGTAGAGATCCTGAGCTTGCCTTTCTAGGAACATATCTCACCTGCTTAATGACACAGCAGTGCAGAGACGCTGCCTTTGAGTACAGGCACTGAGACAAGGTAGCTAACCCACAACAAGGGTAGGCTGTGAATTTACTGTATTATCAGCTGCTTCATAGTGACTCCCCTAGACTGACTCTTACTCTATAGTAGATTGGAAATAGCTCAGTGGAAGAGGGATTATCTCCCTTGCACCACCACTGCAACACAGCATCATTTCCCCTCTTCACCTTTGTCCTGAAGGATATCAACTGTTTCTCTCCTGCCTTTTGATTTACAGCAATGCCTTCTCCTCAGCGTTTCAGTGGTGAAAGCATTATCATTTGGAGTGACCTTGACATCACTATCTCTGTGCCCTGGTACATTGGGCTGATGTTCAGAACCCGGAAAGTCAATGGCATGTTAATGCAAGCCAACGCTGGGACTGCATCCAAGATCAACATTCAGGTAAAAACACAGCTGCCTTTGGTGAGAAAAGAATTAAGAAGTTCTCCCCAGTCAGTGGATATGGTTGCATGAGCTACATACTTCGTCCACCCAGCTAAATACATGTTAATAAATACAAATGACTTCTTCAACTTTTTACAAAGATCCAAAGATCAATGATCAAAAGATAATTGTAAAATCCAGGTTCGTTGTTTTAAGATTACTTTTTTAAACAACAGTAGTAGCTTGTATTAATATGGATGCAGAAAATGTCTCTCTTGATTGTTTTTGTTTTTCTTGTGTTAGTAGGATAAGTTAGAGTTGAATATTCAAAGTGATAGAAGGTGTTATTGGAAGTGTTCCCTTCTTTACCATTTGGGCTTTTTTCCCTTTTGTGTTGTGTTAGGAAACGTTATTATCTTGCCCTCTGCCCCCTTTTGCCTCAAATACAAATATGTAGCGAAATAGACACACCTCTTTTTTTTTCTTTTTTTTTTTTTTGCAACAGATACTGAACAACTACGTGCAGTTTGAAGTGTACAGTGGCCTGAGCCAGGTTGCACGTTTGAAGATGAGCCAGTTGCGAGTCAGTGATGGGGAATGGCATCATTTATTAATAGAACTGAAAAGTGCTAAAGATGGTAAAGACATCAAGTACCTTGCTGTCATGTCCTTGGACTATGGGTTGTACCAGGTAAGGCAGCATCATAACTTTGCCCCTAAGCACTGTAAGAAATGTTTTTAGGAGAAAGTAGGATAAAGGATTGTGGATAGATACATACACTGTGAGCCGTGTTCTGCAATGGTTGGTGCCTAATGAGGTTATATTAGTTCACTAAGCCTAATGATAAGATTTCTAGTGAACAAGTCTGTCAAAAGCCACATTCAGATGTCTAGCTCCTCACTGCTTTTAATTTTTTCCTGTAATCTACTGTCAGCTACTGCTTGACTCCATCACTGCAGAGGGTAGGCTGACTGTGTCACAGAAGATGATAGTGCTTCTTATTGACTGTCCTTTTCCTCAACAGAGCACTGTGCAGATTGGAAATCAACTACCTGGACTGAAAATGAAAAGCATCATTGTGGGAGGTGTCTCTGGAGTAGCAGGGCTTTTATGGCTGTATGCAGGTATGAAATGAAAAGCTTAGCAACAAACTTGGAACTTGTAAGAAAACGCCCATGTGCAAATGTGGGGTTTTGTTTTTCGTCCATGCCCAAACATTTCTGTTTCCTGCATCAAAATATCTAAGAATCAAAGTATTAAAGTCCATCCACTTTCCCACTTTCTCACAGAGGAACAGCATTTAAAAAAATAACTCTAGGTTTGACTCATCAGGCAATGTTTCTTTAAAATGTAGCCTCCTGGATTAATGGAACAGGTGTAACACATAGTGAAATACATTCTACTGAATGAAGACTCTAATTTAAAAGTAATTGTCTTTTGTCACCAGGGAGTAAGAATGGGAGAGACATCTACAAATATAGCTACACTCAACATGAACCAGGCTATGAAGATCAACGTGAAGGAGGGTTGCGAAGTGGATAACCCCTGTGATTCCAACCCATGTCCCCAGCACAGCTACTGCAGTGACGACTGGGACAGCTACTCCTGCATCTGCGACCCAGGTAACCCAGTGCCTGTCCCGTGCACTCATCTAGAAGCTGGGTCACATCTTCATGTGCTCATCAGAAGAAGAGCAGTAGCAGCAGCAGCGTGCCTGCAAAGTACTCATCTTCTGATTCTTCCTTCTCCAGTCGGCATTCTCTTTCTCACTTTTGCTGTAGCACCCTTGAAACTGCAGTCATGGACTAAGGATCATTTGATGAACCAAAGAGAAAGACAGTCTCTGGTCCAAAAGGCTCTTTCCATGCACCTCCCCTTTTCTTTTTGTCTATTTTCTTTTTATTTTTCTTTTTCTTTCCCAGCCTTTTCTGCTGTTGAATTTCAATCTCACACCCTGCATCCTAATCAAGATACTTTGAATGTTTTCTCTGTTTTGGTGCATGTAACCAGCACATGCTGTCAGCGCCCAGCACAGTCACCTCCCCTACACGCAGGGAGGGAATAGAAAACTATTTGTAACACATGCCCTGAATATAAAACTGGGAACCAAAGGCACAAGGATGCCTCAAGCACGTTAACAGACTGTTGAAAAGAACAGCCTATCTCTAAGCCAACTTTTTGCTGAGAGGGAAAAGAGTGCCTTCTTTCTGACAGTATCTTGGGGGAATCTCCTGGTTTTTGAAGATGTAGTATTAGTGTATAAACTTAAAATAGATGGTCTTTCGGAGACATGCAAATGGTAAATTACAATGCTTGCTGTAATTTTATGACCTTGTCTCCCCAGGGTACTTTGGAAGAGACTGTGTTGATGTATGTAACTTGAACCCATGTGAGCATGTCTCCACGTGCGTGCACAAACCTAGTTCATCCCACGGCTACACTTGTGAATGTGGACAAAGCTACTATGGACAGTACTGTGAGAGCAAGTAAGAGAATTGTTTCTGTTCTTGGTTTCTTGATCCTCCCAGGCAGCTCTTCTCCTCAGGCAGCAGTCTTCCCCCTTCCTTTTCTGCTTTGCTTAGCTTTCCTGTTACAGTGTGAGCGTTCATAGCAGATGCTATTTGCAGGCTCCCTGCCCCTTGGTTCCCAGAGACCAGACAGGTCTTATGTATATCCAGGGGCAGCTTTTCTTCAGCAGCAGCTCAAGGGCTCAACCAGTTGGGCTGTGTTACAGAGTACTGCATCTGATCAATACCTTGTAGTGGTCTTGGGCTGAGTTTGCTCTGCGTCTCTCCTTCAGCCCCTCCAGCACACGCACAGAGAAGTGCATGCAGTTAGATGGCCTCTGGCCAGATAAAATGGCTTTGCTCTTTGGGTACAGTGGCTGGGCTGGCAAAAAGCCATCTCTTCTGGACAGTCTGTGGGCCTATGTCCTGTTGCTGTGTGGGAGAAACGTGCTGATTCCCTCATCACCGGCTTCGCGGTCTCAGATAAGCATTCAGCAACCAGCCTTATCCCAGAGTCGGCGCTTTGATGTACTGTAATATGGGCCATTCATGATGTGCAAATGAAGTGAATTTGTCTGCCTGTTTAGGAATAGCTCATGTGATGTTTCTTTTCCCTTTGAAAACCGCAAGCTTCTTCCTCCGCCTTTTGTTGTGTGGGCTTGCAAATGTTGGCCGTGCTGTTGCCAGATTTATCTTTCATTGCTCTCGATGAGTGACGCAGAGACGTTGTCCCTTGTCATTATCCGCTGACATCATGTCAAGTGCAGCATTGTGGTTTTTCACATTATAAAGCATTGAAGTGCAAACCTGGCAATTACTGCATACAAAATTCATCGTGATCTTTGAAACAGGTGGCAAACAGCTTTTCTTTCCTAAAATGAGCAGCTAGGAAGAGATTCCTTGTGTGTTATGCTGATCACAGACTCAGCAGTGTCACCCTTCAGGCTATTGCTTGATGAAGCCTTCCAGCCAGGTCACTTCCCCAGCCCTTTCCCAGAGCTCTCTTTGCCAGCGCTAGTGTTGGGGCACCTGTGGGACAAACCCACTCAGAAGCTCACCTGGAAGAAACAGAACCAGCGAACATGAGGGTTGTCCTTCAGCAGTGCTGGCTTTGGGGCTGCTGCACAGCTTCTAACAAGCTGTGCTGCTCCATTCATGATCTGAAGCCTAGTGTTTGATTCATAGTCTGGATCAAAGCTGCCACCCTTCCTTCTTCCATGTCCCCAACCACATGTCCTTCCTCTCCTTCCCTGTGACAGACCAAGGCTTTTTAGACTCTATGGTGTGCTGACTGAGAAAGCTGGGTTTGCTGAAAATAGCAACTTTTCTTTACAGGGTGAGCTTGCAGCCAGCTTTGCTCCTAAGCCGGTGTCCCTGCAGGCTGGGCTGGTGTCTCCACAGCTGCCCACGGCAGGGCTGGGACAGGAAACTGTGGAGATGGCGAGTGGGATGAAAAGCCTAGGGGAGCTGTAACCCAGGGCTGTTCGTGGTGGTTGGTCAACCAGGGGATGAGCTCAACATCACCTGCAGTTGCCCGAGCTGTGGAAGTGCTAGCACAGCCCAACGCAGGCTGTCCAGCCAGCGCTTTCCCCAGTAGGAGACTGAGACTGGTGGGACTGGGACTGCTTCCATTAGGCAGCATGGGCCCCATCACACTCTTCCAGAGGAAAGAGCACTTATTTGCTCATACAGATGTATACTCCTTGTAGGGAGGACCTAATCTAGAAAACTGGTAGAGAACCATCCTCTCTAGGGTTTCATAGCACCAGTATTCCTTATTTTGCTTTATTACACTGTATGTATATTTATATATGTATTGATTGTTGGCTGCTGCAGTGTGATACATTACTATAAACTGATGGAGTTGCGTGCAGATTTGACTCTTTTTTCCCACCTTTTAAGAGGAAGCTTAAAAGAACTTTCTTTCAATTTGTTTTTCTTTTATAGGATTGATCTGCCTTGTCCCAGAGGCTGGTGGGGAAATCCCATCTGTGGCCCCTGTAACTGTGAGACTAGTAAAGGGTTTGATTCTGATTGCAATAAAACCAATGGAGAATGCCACTGCAAGGTAAGCAAAAGAAAGCAGTCTTAAGTCAAAATTTCTTTAGTTTAAAAAATATCTATACCACTAATGACTACAAGTGAGTATCTGAGATAAAGTACACACAGTTGTGCTTTGTATCATGTATATATGTGCGCAGTGTAGTTAATCTTTACCTAAACCATTTTGCTGGCACCACCCTTCACAAAATCGTACTGTGTGCAGCTCTTATCTTATTTGCCTTTGGAAAGCAAAACTGAGAGGATGAAAGCTGGGCTCTGATCTCTCTGAAGTGCAGCCTGGTTTATGGGGGGGAGATCAGACCTGGGCGCAGCGGAGTGTTTTGTGTGTCACAAGTGAACAATAACCATGAAACAGCTCGGGCCAGCTGGGTGAAGCTCTCCCCTGTGCAGTGGCCAGCAAAAAGCCGAGCAGCTGGTGAGAGGTAAATCACACTAAATGCTTTCTTCAGTGCCAGCTCTGTTGTGCTTGAGAGGAATTTGCCATGGACAGACAGGTACAGACATGGGGACATGGGAGCGGAGGCACTTCCCTCCCAAAGGTTTTACAAAGGACTTCTCACAATAGGTTTTACAATCGCCTTGAGTGACTTCGGGGAAGCTGAGCCTATTCAGACCGGCCGCAGTGAATCTGGCCCCGTACTCCTTTCTGAAACACCAGCAGGACACGCAGGAACTGTTGCGTTAAATCGAGTCAGTGGGATGCCAGCACCATGCTCTTGTGTAATCACGTAACGCCTCAGATCAAAAGCGTTTACAGATGCAATTTGAATACATGACCACTGGTTGCACTCCACCCCGTACATGGAACACAAGTGGACGGTGCAAGAAGTTTCCTTACTGGCCTGTTCGCGCCATACAAGGGTGGAATCACAAAGCAGAGAAAACTGCAAATCCTCTGAGGATATGTTTGCTGGCCACTGACAGCAAGTAAATGAGGAATAACGTGGGTCCTCCACCCCCACTGAAAATTGAGGTCCATACCCCAGATCCCTGTGGCACAGGGCAGCCCAGACATATCGCCGGTGCTCAGCTCTGCCTCTTCATGCTGCCTGGGCTGATGCAGCCTGCTTCCCATAGCCATCACATTTTCTGTTCGTAGTAATATCATTATTACCCCGTGTTTTGCAAAATCATGCTGCTAGAGCAGGATTTGAGAAACGCGAGCAATTCGGAACATAAGTCTATTTGCTTTGTTTTTCTAGGCAAATTACTACCGGCCTCAGAGCAGTGACACTTGCTACCCATGCGACTGCTTCCCGTCCGGCTCCCACACCCGCACCTGCGACATGGAGACGGGACAGTGTCCCTGCAAACCCGGCGTCATCGGGCGGCAGTGCAACCGCTGCGACAACCCCTTCGCTGAAGTCACGGCGAAGGGCTGTGAAGGTACCTCTTGTCCAGCAAGCACCGCTGCTCAGCTGGGCGGTAGCTGCGGGATCAGAGCTGCAGCTGTGGGGCATGGACGGGAACACGCAGCTCCATCCTGGGGCACGTGTGAGCCAGGCAGGGTGGCTGCAGCAGGGGCAGTGGGAGCTGCAGCAGCCTAAATAGGCACTCCTCCTCAGGAGTCTGGCTCTTGGGGGCTGGGGAAAAAGAAAAAAGCTCCCATTTCTTTAATTTTCATCAAATAAAAATATAGCACGCTTGGCGGGGGCGGTTGTGGAGGGAGAGTAAAACATTAATCCCAATTTGACTTGAGACTTGAGTTCCTCTGCCAGTGCAGCACAGTATTGCTGTGCTGCAGATGAGGAAGTGGGCGAGAGCCCTCACACCTTCTGCCCACAGAGCCTGGTGCCCTCTGCCTTTCTTCCCAGTCTTGCTCGTCCTGCCTTTCCTCTCACCCACCCACCCTCCTCCTGTGATCAGCACAAAGCTGCTGCAGCAGCAGCCATCTCACCACAGTGTGTGGGTGAAATGAAGGAGAAATGTTTTCCCACAGTAAAGGAGCAGGCAGAGATAGGCAGAGCCAAAATCCAGAGCCCCATAATCATCCTGCGCTCTCCTCTGCCTGTACCTGTCTGCCCTCACTGCTGGCTAAGGAGAAGCTGATGGGTTACAGCTTGGAAACCACTGCAGAGAACATCAGGTATCCTGATGGGGCTTGGAAATTACAGGAAGGTCTTTTAGGCATTGAAATATCTCCTTGTTGTGATTTTTATCTTGTAAAAATAATTGCATAATTTCTTTGTCTTCTTTCAGTAATTTATAATGGCTGTCCCAAAGCTTTTGAGGCTGGGATTTGGTGGCCACAGACCAAGTTTGGCCAGCCAGCTGCGGTGCCGTGTCCTAAAGGATCAGTGGGTAAGTTCCCTGGGTAAAACATTAGCTGCTTCATCTTAAAAAAAAAAGAGAAAAAAAAATGTATACCCAGGGAATGGCATTAATTCACTGGGTCTGCAGTTTGCAGCATAGCTCATGCGTGCCACAGGCAGCAAAGTTTAGTTAGCTTGAAGTCAAAATCTGTTAAAGTGCAGTTGGAGTAATAGCAATAAATAAATACAAAAGTGCAGGAGGTAAACAGATATGAATAACAGAAATTCTGTGTATTCGAAAAAGCACAGTCCAATTTTCTGTTTTCTGTTCACTCTATCAAGTAATCCTTACCCATAGTTTCCAGTGACTTATACATTTTCTTTAGCAATACAGTTCCTCTGGGCAGAGGTGAAATGAGGAAGATCATTTATGTGATGATTGCTTTACTAGCATTTCAGGTTAATAAAGCCGAGTTACAACAGAACTCAGAACAACAGAATTTTTCCACCTGGCATCATTTCTTAGAGCACATGAGCTGTGTTGTTTTATACAGCAAGTAAATGGCAACATGTGTCCCTGCAAACATCCGATTTTTGAAAACAGAGCTCGCAATCTTTTCCGGAGGCTGTTCTGTAGGAAATGAAACCTCTGCCTCATTTCTGAGCCTTGTAACTCTCTCTCTTCTCAAGCTCAAGGAGTTACAAACAGTTATGTGACTTCTCCAGATATTACTGGGGGAAGGTCACTCCTTATAGGTGTGCAGAAGATTTGTGATCAACCAAGCTCCTCTTCTGAGGATTCTAGGAGATGGAATCGATTTCTTTTAAGTGAAGTATATTTACATTATTAAATACTGGAAAGTTGAATTAATATGTTTTCTGCACTGTTCTTGTGGTTGACCATGCAAATAGGCTAGCAGGCAATGCTACTTACGGGAATTGCATGTTTCAAGTGAATTTTAGAGAACATTCAAAAAAAGTAAGCTTCATAGTAATGAATATGCAGGCTAAGAACCCGAGGCTTAATTGTATTAACCTAGTCAGGGAGGAGAAATAATATAATTGGATATTATTCAATTATTATTCTTATTTGGATATTAGTAATTAAATGGCTTAGACATACGTGGTATGTTATGTGCAAGTTAACTAGCGCAGTGCAAATTTTGAATTTGATAACTTGGAATTCATAATGAAGGATCCACAGCCAAGAATCACATTTTTGAATGATTTGACAAACAGTACAAAATAATAAGCTAAGTAAAACAGTAAGCTGCTCACAGATCATTCACAAGTGGAAAAAGGCAATTATATGTGTTGGCTGAAGTGTTTGCCGCGTGCAGCATGTAAAGATGCTGGCGTGTTTTGACATGAAGACCGCATTTTTCTGGGAGGTCTTCCTGTATAGCCTGTTGCACAGAAATCTGAGGAGGGATATGTTTTCAGAAATATCTAGGAAATGTAGGGTCTTTCTCATATTTGGTATAAATAAATGGCTGGATTCATTTGAGATAGTTAGGACAGCAACACTTGGAGCAGTTCGTCAGGTCTTGAAACCTTGCCTGACTTTTCTCTAAAGCCTGAGGAAAACAGTTCATGAAGATTAGTAGTCTTTAACTTTTCTCAGGCGGGAATCCCATTTGGAAAGCAAAGTATGTGCATATCTCCAAGAAACTTGAAAATGTAGGAAATCTGAAAGTCTAGGACATTTGAAATCTATGAAGTTTTACCCAGAACATTATTTACATTTATTTTGCTTTTTTTCCTTCAGGAAACGCAGTTCGCCACTGTAACATTGAGAAGGGCTGGCTGCCTCCTGAGCTTTTCAACTGCACCACCAGCACTTTCGTCGATCTAAAAATCATGGTAAGCTGTGTTTTCTCAGTTTTGCCATCATTTTGTAAATGATCATCAATTCAGACTCCAGTTTGATATCCCTGCACTCCATTTTTTGACCGAGTCCTTGAACTCCCTCGTGTCCCATCAGGATCCTTGCGCTTTTCTGGCTCTCAGTTACATTTCGCACTGAGTTATCCTGTCAACCCTTTCTCAAGACAAACACCATTTTGATAAAAACAACCTCTTTGTGCCAGAAATCCCTACATGGTGATTGTCTTTGTAACTAAAAGGTACATCATTGTTGCTTTTTCTTCCTTCCTGCCTCTGATTCAGAATGAGAAGTTACACCACAATGAGACCAAGCTGGATGGAGACAAAACCATACAGATTGTGAGAGTGCTGCAGAATGCCACCAAATACACACAGAGCTTGTACGGCAACGACGTGAGGACAGCTTACCAGATGATGATCCGGGTCCTCCAGTATGAGAGCCAGCAGCAAGGGTTTGATTTGGCAGCCACCAGGGATGTGGAATTCAATGAGGTAAGAGACATACTACATACTGTGCTGAGCCTTTACAGTTTTATAGCAATGGATAATTAAATTTGTCTTTGACCAAGGTGGAGTGAATATCATGTAATGGCTTCATCTTTCACCAGTAAAACAGTCTTCTCAATTTAGAATGTGTGTGCACACATATGTGTGTGTAATACAAATATCACAGAAAGGGCTGTAGTGCCAAAAGCAAAATTCCTCACATGAAAAGAAATAATTAAGTTGATGTGTTATTCCTGGATAAAATAGCTTTATGTACAATATTCAATTCTTTTGGAAACCTTCCTAATGTGATAACTTTCATTTAAATGGGCAGTGAACTGACTCTGACCCATTTATTGACTCTGAATGTTTCTTTTAATTTAGTTTGGAAACACTTGAGTCATGTTTACTAAAGGGTTGGTACGTTGAAAGACATTCCATACCGTATTGATATTTTGAGTGCTGCAGGCACGTACGGAAATGCGTGCCAGAGGACTTCTGCTGGTCAGAGTGTTCATAAAAGTCCCAGTTATTACCAAAGACCTCACCAGGTCTAGAGAACAAGCTGTAGCACCCGCCCTTTCTGGGAGAAGCACGTAGTTGTGGTGGAAAAATGTGAGATGTGGAGCAAGTTGGAAGGTTTCTTTGGTCTGAAAATGTGAAGGTCGGATGGCCCATGTCAGGCTTGTAGATCTCTGCTCGTTGCCATGTGTGCTGCTGGTGCTGCTGTCCACTCTTGCCAACACTATTTCCAAGATCCTGACCATGGCATAGCACAGAGTCCAAGCTAAAACATCCTTCTGGACCTGTGGCAGCAGAGCCCAGAGCTCCAGAACCGGGGCAGGGGTGCTGGAACAACCCTCCATGGGCCAAGACCAGCCTCCGTGCTGGCCAAGGGTGGTGTGACTCCCTTTGAGGGTGTGCTACAGCCAGCTCGCTGCTCACAGCGCTCCAGGAGGATCAGCCAGGTCAGGCAGACTTTGGGGAGAACTTGGAGACCTTGTGCCAGGCCAAAGTGCACCAGAAGAGGACATCCCTGGGAAGGTGGGAGCAGGAGCAAAGGTGTCTGAGAAAATTCCTCAGTGTCTCGGATGATACAGAGAGCAAAGAACTTCTGAAATGTTTAACATTTTCGGTGCCCCAGATTTTAAGAGATGCAGATTTTTCTTCCCTAGAGAGACAGTGTACTGACAGACTTATACCCTGCAGGCTGTGCAGTAAATGAATTCCCCCATTCAGATTTTGAGAAGAGTCTTCATTTTTAGCATGTTTCCTTAAGTAAAAATAGGAACAATAAGCAAAAAAAAAAAAAAAAGCTTTTAAACCTCTGCATTGATTTATTATTCTCTGTACTTGGCACTGAAACTCATACAGATGATGTTTCCAAAAACTCCCCAAATATTTTTTAGGATAGGTCAGGAATTTGAAAACTAATCAGTAAAGCTTATGAAAAAAAGGAAGTAACATCCTAGTCTGAGGGAGCACTAGGGCAGAAGCAATTTGTATTTATTTTTTTTTAATAGTCTCAGGTAGAAGCCTGAAAAAATAGATAATAAAATAACATCAATAATGCTCACAAACAGTGAGGAGGCCTGGTACCAAGTACAGCATGTGTCTCCCACGTTCCTGGGGAACCACGTAGTGCTTCTCACCCTAGATAAAGGCAGTCGTACTGGCAGCCTCTTTTATCTCAATATACACCTGCAACCTCAGACAATACTTAAAGAATATAGCATCTTCCCTGTCTGCTTCTAAAGGGAGCCTAAATATTTGCCTTGGCTATTTTAGAGCTTGAGGTGATTAATTCCTACCGTATTTTCTGCACATTTTACCTTAGTTAGGAATTAGGTTTTGGCACAGTGTAGTTCATATGTACACCAAGGTTAAAAACTTTTTAGTGCTTTTCCCACTTAAGCCATTTTACACTCTCTTTGGAAGTTTTATTCTATTCAGCCTGAGGGTCCCTTTGCATATTCTTGTATGAAAAGGCAGAAGGGGCAGGTCCTCAGCTAGATCTTCCTTTTAACACCATTTGTAACATAAAAATGGGGGTGGAAGACACAACTGAAGTTTTTTTTGTGGATTTCCAAGTTTGTCTATGCAAGTTAATGTCATTCTTCCACATGTAAGTTGTCCTGGTTATCAAGGAATCAACAAAATAAAACAAAAAGTCAAAATAAAAGAGAAAGCAGTAATTCTTTCTGTGACTTTCTTTTGATTTTAACATATCACATTATTTTTATTCTTCTGGGGGAGTTTTTCAATGTACATAGTAAGTGCTCTACTTTTCTTGTCTCTCTGAGACAACATGGTTAGGTTTTCCTTCTGCATTTTCTTGCTAGGTTTCCTGTCATAAAGGGGAAAGAAGGTAGGCAGTTCTCTTACAGCCTCCAATTTTGGCTTACTTTGCTCATAAAAGGTTTGGAGGGATTTGCTTTATGTAAGAAAAAACCTCTGGGTAGGTAACGGGCATGCGTATTTTCATATGACTACAGTAGAACATGCCTGCATTAAAGTGCTTCGTTACACACTCACCTGAGGCAGTGATGCCAGTCATTTTCAGTATTCCTCACTGGAAACCCAGCGCTTTGTTTGCTTCATAATTTAGGCTTGTACTTTGTTTCTCAGCATATTATCAAAGTGGGTAGTGCTCTACTGGACCCCAGCAATAAGGAGCACTGGGAGCAAATTCAGCGAACGGAGGGTGGCACCGCTCACCTGCTCAGGCACTACGAGGAATATTTCAACAACGTGGCCCAGAACATGAAGAAAACCTACATGAGACCTTTTGTCATTGTTGCCACTAACATGAGTGAGTACCTGTGGCGAGAACTGCCGTTTTGTATTACGGCTTTAAAAATATGCTGGGTGGAGGTACCAGCTGTTTGGTTTAGTCATGACCGCTGAGAAACAGCATATTTGGGGTTTCTAATCAGATCAGTGCATTCATTTCTAGTCAATTGAGCCTTGACCCATACCTCTCAGTTGCCACGGGGGCCTCCTGAGATACGTCTCATCTGTTTTCCCGCTGAGCCACGCCACTGCTCTGTGTGGCATTTTGTTGCAGCGACAGTAGTGTGCGGGTGGTGGGCAGGACAGTCACAGGGGCATAAAAACCAAAGGTACGGGACCGTCGAGCAGCAACTCCAGGGAGGGAAGGATTATTGTTGAGCTGACCCAAACCGAAATACTTTGATTTCTGTTTAATAAACCAAACCCAAAATATTTCCCTTTGATTCAGGACTACCAGAATCAAAATGTTTTTGTCTTCACACTCAGAAAAAAAAGTCGTCTCAGTTTTTTAACTGAACTGAGATGAAAACAAAACCCAGAATTTCTTGCAGGTTGTAAATCCTGATTTTTTTCAACCAGCTCTTCCTGAGTAAAAAGGCGTGAGCTTGGAAGCGATGAGGCAACTCTGGCCTGAAAGGGGTCTGTTTTCTTTTGAACAGTTTTTCCAGGTGAACATGGTGTTAACGGAGTTTCCTAATGGCTCATCTGGGAGTTATTTAGAGACTAGGAAAGGAATAGGAGCTTGCAGATCTTAACTTGTGTATTTCTTCATATAGCAACTTGCAGTGGGTCACAGCTTTCGGTGTAGGGTTACCCCCAGGACTTCCAGCTTCTCACTTTTATTGGAACATCTAAATTGGCACTCAATGACTTCTCTTAAATGGGAAAGTTTCAAGTCAGCTCAGCTCTTTTAAATATTTTGGCAATTAAACAACAGGCAGAGCTGATGAGGTGAGCCAAAGAGGAATTTCTAGTGTAGAGGAAGGAGAACTGGGGAACTAAGGAGTAGTCTCAGGTAAAAATCCAGGTTATTTCCTTTGTTTAGCTGACTTTGCAATTTAACAGATGTAGAAGAACTGTATTTCTGAAGCAGCAGATCTAGAAATTCTGAAATTGGAACATGGCACTTCTGTATTTCTAGTGTTTGCAGGAGTGTTTTACCAGTATGAGATGCTGTCTTGTGAATTCCTTTCCACTGCAAAATAAATTTATATTTTGATAAATGTAACATAATGCTGACACGTAAGCTTTTATTTGTCACTTAAGGTATTAATTGAGAAAAAATAAATCTGATTTTCCATTTTGGGGTTTAAACATCTTCTCTGTATTGTGCATATATAGTAAACTTACAATGATCTTTCATATTGTCACAATATCATATTTGAAAGCATTGAAGTTCATTTTATGGGAAACTTTATTCCCTCCAGTTATTGCTGTTGACATCTTTGACAAGTCTAATTTCACCGGCGCTAGAATACCACGATTTCATGAGATTAAGGAAGATTATCCAAAGGATCTGGAATCATCTGTTGTCTTCCCTGATACTTTGTTCAGACCTTCAGACAGGAAAGGTAAAACCCTTCTGCTGCTTGTTGAAGGGCAGTTCTGACCAGCTCCCAAGGAGCGCGATTAATCCTTGCAGAGCGGCACGGTGCTAGGGTGAGAGCGGGGCGACCGTCTACACAAGTGAACGTTATTTCGGGCCGGAGCAGCTGTGCATACTTCTGAGGCATTTTGCCTGCCGGCAGTGACAAAAGCATGGCGGGCCACGTAACTGGCTGTACCTGTCTGCCAGGTCTCGCTCGCAGCCCCTCGAACTGCCCCGTCAAGGAGAGAGCAGTGCTCTGCCTCTGTTCCCACCAGGATAGGAGGGGACAGACGCCTGGAGCCTGCAGCCCCACGGTCACTTTCCCCACATCTGCACAGAGATGGAGGGAGGCGGCGTGAGAGATGGAGAGTCCAAACCTGAGAGGAGCAGAGCTATGTTCTCTAAACTAGACAGCGAGTAAAACGTCTTGAGATGGGTGAGGAGGGAGAATACTTGGGGAAGTACCTGCTTCGTGGTGTCTCTGAAGTACCCCGAGGTTGCCAGGAGGAACCACAGGTTATTTTAGGCAAGGGAAGAGAGAGAGGAGGTAATCAAAAAAGCAATAATTATACACGTACTATGGCTGAATAGCCTCCAGATGGGGAAGTAGTAACGCTTGTGAAAGTAACACGAAATAATTAATAAGCTAATACCACTTTATGACGTTTCCTCAGAAACAGGGCACCTGCTTGTATGACTTGTATCTTTTCAGTAAGGAAAAGAGAATGTGATTTTTAAGAGATACTGCCAAAACTGAAAGCTCGTTATATGACATAATTAGCAGAGAGCAATTCCGTGTGGCCAGTTGGTGTATTCATAACACTAGCTTTGCCATATATAAAGGTACATGCAATTTAATAACATGCATATTGTTTTAATGTTCTCCTTAAAACATGCACAGAGTATTTATGTACCTATGGATCTTCTAGCTTAGAAATGGCTTTTTTTTCTAGCTAGACTAAATGGTTATTCATGGTTCAATGGTTTCTAATTATCTGCTGTATAACTATGAAACGTGCTAAAATTTTATTAGAAATATCAAATATGACATTAGTGGTACAACAGTAATACGTCTGTGTCTCTGCAAAGCAAAATTAACAGTTTAAGCCGTAGCTCTGAAGTTACGGAAAGAATTTAATATTTGTGTTAATCCCATAGCAGTGCCTACAATGAAGCCTTCAAGTCAAAAGTTGTCCTCTAAAATGAGCAGTGGTGCACTAAGCCCCGAGAGTGCTTTTGCAAAGAGAAGGAAGCGACACCCGGATGACTCAGCGCATCATACCGTTGCCATGGTCATTATATACCGGTCCCTGGGACACCTCCTGCCTGAAAACTACGATCCTGACCGAAGGAGCTTGAGGTGAACTTCAGACCTGTTTGTGGATTGTGCAGATCCCTTCTGCCACTTGCTCTGAGTCTGCGGAGGCGGGGACAGAGCTGCTTTTATGCCGACTGAATGTCATCTGTGGTGCATTTGTCGCTGCAGTGCTGTCTCTTGTCCTCCTCTGGCACAATGTGGGAGAATAACCATGCCAGGAGTGCCAGCAGCTTTTGGAAATGCCGTTGTGTGGAAGGTTGATGCTGTGTCTATGCTTCACTTTCTGAGTGGAAGCGACTGGAAATCTTTTATTTGCAAAACCTACTTTGCATTTTAGCTTTTAAATCACCGTGGAATTTTTATCCTTCTGCAGATTGCCAAATCGCCCGATTATTAACACACCTGTAGTGAGCACGGCCATTCACAGTGACGGGGAACTTCCTCCCAACCTGATGGAAAAGCCCATCATAGTGGAGTATGCCATGCTGGAAACAGAGGAGAGAACGAAGCCTGTCTGTGTCTTCTGGAACCACTCCATCACGTATGTCTCCTGCTCGCTTTAGGGCTGTGCATGTCAACTCTCAGTAGCAGAGAAGTTGTGCCCAGGAAGATAATGCTGGAGGAAAAACCTTTTTTTCACAGTTTATTCAACTGGCAACTGAGTTCTAGTGGAATAGAGCCACGTAGTCATTTCCCACCAACCTGAGAAAAACGAAAATAATCATCATAACTCCTCAAACAAAGGATTAGCCGTGTGGTTTCTAACAAACACAGTGCCATCGTGTCTTTCTGCAGGGTTCATTTTCACCCAGCAGTAACAAATCTCACAATCTCCTTGTATTTACTCGTGCTATTTGCCCATGGATGTATGCCTGGACAGGCATAGTCTGACTCTAGAGCCTGAATTCGTGGCTCACGTGAGGTCCCTAGGTCAGGACTCTCATTGCCCCATGCTCTCTTTTTAGGAGGGCATCTCCAGGAGATGATTCAGTTCTTACATGGGCTGAATCTGCTCTGGCGACTGTGGACAGAGTACATGGCAAACAGACCTTCACCCTCGATGCCTCAGCCAGGGCCAATGCAAAAAATTACAAAATCAAATCTTCTTGGTGGTAAAAAGGAGGACTGATGTTTTGCGGACAATGTCGTATGAGTAAAGACTATGAATTTCTAAATCTCAAAATTTTGAATCAAAAGTCAACCTAAAAACAGCTGCACAGATAAGAAGCAACTTACCTTTAATTCGATCAACTGTTGTGGATTTGCTTTCAATTATTTTAGTGAAAAATTGCAGGAAGAGGAAATATCTTCTTTGGGACCTTAGACTGCTTCCAGTCATTAGGAAGCAATTATAATACATAACCAGAACATAACGAGAGAGTATTTGACTCTTTAGGACAAAAGTATGAGGGAAAAGGTTATATACTCTGCAAATGGCTCATTTAAGTCTTTTGTATTCAGTAAAGTCAAAGATAAAGATGTATTTTTCTTGAAAATGTGAAAAATGTTAAGAACTGGATACGCTCATAAGTGTTTTGATGGGTTTGTGTCATTGTGGAAACAACACAGTCCTGTTGGAGATATTTCAAGAGTGTGGATAAAACAAAAGAAAATGAGAAGTAACTACATGCTCTGCTGTCATTTCACAATATTGTAACTGTTACAGACATAATGCATTTTTCAACCATAAAACTAGGTGTTTCCTAATAACCCCAAAACTCTAGTAAACCTACTGAAAAATCCATTAAAAGGCAATATCCTGTGCTGGAAATAAATGAGCAAACTAACCTAGGAAATGTTTGCCTCCTAGTCAAAAGCTTCAGGAGATCATTGAAAGGATCCAAGAGGCAACAGAAATCTCTTATGTTTGTAATGATAAACTACTCCATTTGCCTGTATGTAAAACAGTGTATTTGCTTGTGTACGCAGACGATTCTGCCAGTTATGAGGGAATGGCAAGTCCTTTTTCATAAATCTTTAAACATTGTATGGGCTTGAATAACTCATTAGCTCTGAAGTGATTCATCTATTAGCTATTTGCTGGCAACTTCAATGGCATTGTTGTCTGTGTTACATCTTCCTACAGACACAGTTAAAAACAGTTCTTAAACTACATGTCACGAAAGAGTTTCTTAAAAAGCGAGTACTTCTTAAGAGAAAGTGGTAGTAAAACTGTTCAACAAATATTTCATTGCTGAATGAAAAGGATGTCCTGACATATCTAGTTAAAAACTCTTCCAGTAGCTACAAGACTAATTTTATTACTCATTAACTTCAGAATAGAATAATTAACATTGACACAAAATAATTTCTGAAGTCACTGAAGTTAACTGAAGCTTCACGGAAAGCATTTTCAAGGGAGAGGTTCCTCCCCAGTGTTAATACAAGAGATCTCCTGAAAGGAAATATTCTGTGATTTACTGGTTTTAACCATTTCCAGTTTACTTTTCAGAGGAACACTGGAACAAAATCATATTATTGCTGAAACACATTTCACATAAGAGCTCTACAAGCAGTGTCTAGATCTCAGAAACTTGTATCTCTGTATTTTTGGTATTTTTTACCTTTGTTGTGACCAGTTTCCTCTGCGCAATTGCTTCCCCACGTTGCTTGTGTGGTCTCTGACCGAAAAGCAATTGTTTTTAATTTTTTTTTTAAAAAAAATCAAAGCAGATTGTTATAGAACAAAATTTGGCCAGCAAAGCCAGCTATCATATCAGGAACTACTTCAACTGAAGGCTCTTTAAGTTGGTGATACTCTTTCAGGCAGGTGACAGCTATAAATATTTCTGTCTTGGTACTTACAGTCCTCTCTGGCTGTAAGAGCTGCCCCGGAGAGCAGTAGCAGCAGCAGGCGAGGGGATATCAGAGGACAGCTCTCAGAAATGCCTTTTTTTCCTCGCAGGATTGGCGGGACAGGTGCCTGGTCCTCCAGAGGATGTGAGCTGTTTTCCAGAAACCAGAGCCACATCGCTTGCCAGTGCAACCATATAACCAGCTTCGCCGTCCTGATGGACATTTCGAAACGAGAGGTGGGTGATGTCAGGCTCATGATTTTTGAGGGCTTTGGTTTTCAAGGACTTTGATTCAGAGGCTGAGCCTGAGCTTTGAGCATGACTCAGAGAATCATCAGCGGCTCTGTCCCATGTTGCAGTGAGTTGCCCCACGCCTGACAGCACCCGCTGCTGGGTCTGCTGATAAAAGCTTCTGAACTGGTTGGTGGACCCTCTGGTTGCTGCCTGTATACACTCAACGTGTTAAGTGACTTAAGAGCTGGTATCATCCACTCCTGTTGGTCATAAAGCACGTTGGTACGTTTGCTCAGTAGTAATGAAAATAGTGGCATTCCAAATAGCAGATTTGACTGGAGGAGAAGGAAGGAAAAACTCACAGAGGTCCTGTCAATCTGTCTTTCTCCAGAATGGGGAGGTGCTTCCTCTGAAGATTGTCACTTACACAACTGTATCCATCTCGCTGGTGGCTTTGCTGATCACCTTCATACTGCTGGTCCTGATCCGCACACTACGTTCCAACTTGCACAGTATCCACAAAAACCTGGTGGCTGCTCTTTTCTTCTCAGAGCTTGTCTTTCTTATTGGAATCAACCAGACTGAAAACCCGGTAAGAGTTACTCTGTGCTTATTCCTAGACTTGTTGTCAAGCTTTAAATTGGGGAGTACGTGTTGCCACTTTTACCTGGCCCCGTCTGTTTCACGTTCTCTTCTTTTTTTACTTCTGCTTGGCCTCAACACCCATTTGAAACATATCAGACTTTTAATATATTCTTGTGTGGTTTATATGATTAACAGCAATGCCAGGAGGTAGGATCATATCTTATTTTCAAAGAATATGTGACAGCAGCCCTGCTGAAGGCTTATTCCAGGAACTGAACCTTGAGCACTGATTTCTTCCTACCTTTCCATCAGTTTTTTTTCTTGTCTCGCTTTGTCTGTTCAGTAGGAAGCTCTACAGTTTCTTCTGCAGCAGGTACCTCACAAGCCCAAACAGCTTCTGGTGTTGACTGGTAGGTTGTCACCTATGTGTTGCTGTGCAGGTGCTGATAAATACGCGTGTTACGCAGCCACCGTGGCCATTCTGGAGAAGCCACTTGCCAGGCATGGGACAGCTTGCTACATCCAAGAGTCAACAGGAGATCTGTTGCTTTGCTTTGTGCCTTCCAGCCATGGGGATTGTTGGCTTCAGCCCATCATACATGTTGCCAAAGCTCAGTGTAGCCACCTCCAGCACTGTGCATGTCAAGAAACATAAACTGTGAATGGGCTGAATATGAGATACACGCCACACGTGAAGTGTGTGTGTGTTCTGTACCCAGGACCTCATTGCTCTCATAACTATGTGGCATTATACATAGCATTGCTGCTGATTCTTTAGCAGGACTTGTCTCAAAAGGCATGGTTGCAATGCAAACAGGTAGGAGACAAGCAGACAAGAGTTCCAGCACTGCTAAGTTTCACAGTCACCTGTACCAGTAGACAGGTGGCAGATAACATGCCATAAGAAAAATGTCCTTAACATATATGAAGAACATTCAAAATGTTAGTGTAGGCCTAATCTGAATACTCTGAAGAAACTTTCTCTTCTAGAAATCTGTTACTCTACATGTTTCAATCTAAATTTTGAGAGGGAATTACAATCTTGAGATGAAAAATAATGGACTATGCTGATTCCACATTGTCCAAGCAGCAGAAATGGGAGAATAAGCCTACATTCAACAAGTATCATCACCATTATGGTAATGACAACATGGTGCCTAACCACGCAGCCTCACTTGCTATGTACCTTAAGCATAAAGTGTCATTCTGGATTCTGCTATCTATCAAAAAAATTGTGAGTGCTAAACTTGACGAAGTTTTCCAGCTAGTACTATCACTTCCAGTCCCATTTTCCAATATTCCTCTGCACCAGGAACTCCAGTTCCTTATCCTCTGCTGTGGTGAGATCATCTGCAGTGACCTGCCCTCTGAAGTATGGTCTCAGGCCATCTGTGGCCCATGTTTATTTGTTTCATAATGTATGAGTTTGCATATTAAAATAACTTTGTTCAGATGAACTCACCTTGCCAACTGATCGGCAGCACTCTGTGTAACTTGACCTTTCCCATGCCTTCGTGAGCACACCACTCATTTTTCACTGCATTTCACTAGGAGTTCATACTCTTCCACTCACGAGGATTTCTTACTCTTCCAGTTCTCTGACATGAATACTGAGAAGCAGAGGGCCAAGCCTACATCCCTGCAGAATCTTACTAAAAATTATGCAGTAAATGATGACTCCTCATTTCCAGTTTCTTTTCTTAATATCATGAAGCATCAAACAAAGGTTTATAAGAGCAGTAAAACAGTTAATTGCAGAAATACAATATATACTAATGATTGTACTTGGTGAGATTGTTTTCTTTTGCTCCTTCTCATTTTCATTGCTTTGGGGCTCATGGTGTGATCATGTTCTTTACTGTTACCAGAACTCAGTGAAACACCCCAAACCTTTAACCCACTTAGAAAGATCCTTAAATTACAGAATATATTTCATACAGCAGAGAGCTGCTCCTTACAGCCTACCCAGTCAATTTGAGAAGTTAGGAGGGCTATAAGCCATGTCTGCTTGAGACAATTATTCATCTGTCTGTATGGAATGAGAGTTGTCTAACGAGTCATGCACTGATGAACATAAAGAGGTAAAGAATGCTGGAGCACAAATAATGCTGCGCTGCTTGGCACCCAGCCTGGCTTTTATGGGTTTCTGTAAATTAACAGTCTCATTTCTAGGTGAGGTTTTAATCTTTCCCTGGACTATTGATAGAAAGTGATTTATTTTCTTTCTTTTTTTCTTACCTGAAAAAGGTAATGTTCAGGGCAGCAGTCTACACATATGCCTGTGTGAGTAGGAACAAAAAAAGCTCGGCTTACATAGAGGGAGGAAAGGTCTTTTATTTGGCGAGCTACATTTTTAATAACACTCAGTGTTATAATAAAGTTGATGCAGTAAGTGAATCCAGAAAGCTGGCGGTCTTTGTATGTTCCCTTCACTCGCAAAGTTAAACAGGGAAACTTTCATTTCTGAGCATTATACCATGAAAAAACACTCAAAAGTCATGCCAAAATCTGAACGCAGGGTCAATGCTGCACAGGAACAAAAGGTTGCGAAACACAGTGTAAAATATTTCAAAACAAAAACTGAATGATTACAGAGTGCTCTTAATTCAAGCTTATCAGCAGATCGTTGGCAAAACCCTTTGCTTTGCTTCTGAAGGGAGAAGGTTAATTATGAGGTTTCAATTCAGGTGTCAGATGCTTGTGGTCATTCTTGAGAGGGAAAGCCAATTAGCAGATGTCACAGAAATGCCTGTGAGGGTCAGAGGTTTCAAGGTGGCTGTTTGGTCACAAAGAACGCTTCATCTACCAGTTTGCTCGCTGTAGCTGTTACTCCTAGTCACGCTAAGAACCCAGTCTCTTTGGTTTCAGCAGGTGTTCCATCTTTGCTGCTCCCAGCCTGGCAGAGCTGCATGGCCCACTTGGTGCTGCTGACATAGGATGTAAATCAAATCCAAACCTGAGACTGGAAGCTCCACGTCCCCTTGTTCCTAGCCAAAGACATGAACTACCCAGGCAGCACCAGCCTGCTTTCAGTTTGTCCTCATGACTCCCGCACCTGACTGCAAGTAGCACAACCTCAAGAGGAGGGTAGAGCAAAGCATTTCTAGACTGACAATGTCCTACAGCCTGGGTGTTAGGGCAGATTTCTGCAATGAATGGGAAGGGGCGCGACCTCCCAGCTCAAGCTATCTAAAGCCCAGAAGCCACTCCCTCGCTTTCTAGTCAAATACTCTTGATTTCGACATCAGGTAAAATCTGAGGAGTAGGTGGTGATCTACTTCTGGGTGCTTCATTTTAGTCCAGAGATAACAGCCAGACATCCTCCATGCCTTTTTGAAGTATATATATGCACAAGGTCTTCAGAGTTCATCATTGAAGACCAGAGCTGTGAGGGCCAAAGAGGTGGCCACTGCCTCACCCTATGGATGCATCCATGCTTTTTCTTTTCAATTTTTTTAAAAGTTTAGCAGAAAAAGGCCTGTAGATGGAAGAGACCTTTTCAGACACATAAGAGGAAAATAGTCTGGTGATCTTATATTAGATCATAAGGTTATGTCAAATTTTGCCTATTTGGGAGACAGACATTTCATTCAACTGGTAAGAAAGTTCCCCAAAGAAAGGCTGGATTTCTTTGGTTAAAGTCTACAGATCATCCGTTGCTTTTGCTCCGCACATTAACTTTTGCTGGGCTAAAGTTTCGTGGATTTCTGTCTCTAGAAGTGAAGTTTTTCCAAGCAAAAAGGACTTTCTCAGGGACTGGTCCTAAACTGATGACCTAAGACCATCTCAGACCTCCCCTCTACTCTGCCAAAGGAGACTTTCTTTGTACATTTTATTTTCTGCTAGTATCAGGCATGAAATAAACTGTACCAAAATAGGAGACTCCCCTGGAGAGTGATCACTCTCTAAAAAGAATGAAGTAGCAGAAAACTCCACAGGATGGCCCTTGTTGTGCACATGGGAGACACTCATTCAATGCAGGGCTGAAGGTGGCTCTTCTCAGGAGCAATTTGTTGATTTTGCAGTGAGACTCGTTTAGTTGATGCAGTTAAACACACTGTGGCTGAACTCGGTGAGGTGGCAACGCACAGGGCAGAGGGTCTGCAGCCTCCACAGGAGCATCCTCACCTCCTGCTCTGCACCAGGAGAAAGAGACAGGAGCTCTTCCAGCCCTACCCCTCCTGCAAGCAGAAGGAATTTGGACAGAGTAGTCGAAATGCTCACCTTGGTAGCAAATACGCACAGAGAAATTAGCCACAAAGTATGGAGGACAAGGGCAGAGAACAAAAGCGTGTTGGGTGGTAGGGTAAAGCTGAACCAGACTCAGAACAGGCCACATAATATTCTTCTTACAAAAAAATTAAATCTTTCACAATATGAACAGCTTTTCTGAAACTCTGACAAACTTAATTGATGGCAGTGTGTTTGGACTGCCAAAATCTTTTTATTACATTTGCCTTTAGCTGCATGGGGGAGCTGAAGACTCACCAAGTTGTGATTCAGAAGAGCAACTTTTAATTTTCCTGCCCCTTTCCCTTCTGCAGTTTGTGTGTACCGTGATTGCCATCCTCCTGCATTATTTCTACATGAGCACCTTCGCATGGATGTTTGTGGAGCAGCTCCACATCTACCGGATGCTGACTGAAGTGAGGAACATCAACTTTGGGCACATGCGGTTCTACTACGTCGTTGGCTGGTTTATCATAACAGGTACCCTCAACCACCCCAAACCGGTTTTGTTTCCCTTCCCTGTCATCCTTACTGGCCAGATTCAGGAAAGTTACCACATCCAAGACAGCTGTGGGTACACTCAAGTACTGCTGTCACTTCAGTGTTTTCCTGAAGGAAGGAGAGCAACACCAAATCACGCCTAGCAGAAGACAGCCTGAATTTGGCCCGTCTGTGTAGCAAACATCCATTGCCCCAGTTGAAGTGATACTGATGGTTTTACAATAACATGAATATCATTACACCCAGATTAAAACAGGGCTTGATGACACTGCTTGGAAATAACAGTATTTTTATTTCAACAGTTTTGCCAGTAGCCTCCAGGTATTTTCCTTCCCTGTGCTGGTACCTTGAGATTCGGACAGCTGGTTTCTCGAGGAGGTAGCTGCGGTGGTTTTAGAAGCGATGCTGCTCACAGGACATTACTGCCCTTCAGTGGGCATTCCTTTTGCCTACCCTCAGTTTTCAGTAAATGCTCCCTGAAGGGGATTTCAGCAGTTCTGTTTTACTTGGCATAAAAACATCCTGGGAATACTCAAGGAGCCTTTTACTTCCTTTCAGATACAAGGGCAGTAGCCTCCAGTTGAGGAAGAGTAATGAAAAGCTGGAGGCAGTAATCTTTTAAACCGTTCCAGAGTGATCCACAGGAGCACATCCATCTCCGCCCTCACCGTGCCTATTTGTGCAATCAGACATTGCCAGCGCTACCCTCAGCACATGGTGCTGCGTTAATTCAGGCAGACAGTTCCTTGGGAAGCGCGCTTCGCACAACAGTTGGAGCAGGGCTCTTCGGTTCAACTCTTTCAACATGTATCTGTTGCCATATGGGAAAACAGTTAACTTTTATCCAGTTACTTTCATTTTTACAGATAGCAACATACTGTCAGCAGTGGCAGAGGTGTAGATGTCTCTCAGATCAAACAAATGGCTATCACTCATATACCCTTGGAAAAATATTATGGAACAAGTTAGATTTAAAAATATATGGTGGTTTGCTTGTGTTTTTTTCTTTTCTGTGTGACTCAAGAAAGTGTAATTCCAAAACATAGCATAGGTTAGTGCATGTCAGTTCTCTCTGCAGAGAGCTGATAAGCTTTTCCATATCAACTTGTGTATAAATAATTTCTACTTCTATCAGTTTACCCGGAACACAATGAACACGTCTGACATTTTTAGAAATCTAGACATATCCCTGACCTTTTTAGAAATCATCTTTGAACTTCTGAAAGCTTTCAGACCTGTGTAACTCTCATCAGCACTCACAGGACTACTGCAGTATACTCAGAAACATTTAAGTGCAATCAAGTAATTGACAGTGTCGTTTCTTGTTAAAAAAAAAGTATTATGATTAAATAGCAATAAACCGTTTGCATTTCCGAGCACATAACTCTTTAGCAGAACTTTGTCAGAAGGATTTTCTGTTTCATGCTTAGTTTCTCTCCTGAATTTTAAATTAATTCTGACCTTGCTCAGTAGCAGTATTATGAGATCTAAATATTACAACTACAGCATTTTTACGTTTTTCTACTTAGATATTGTTCTCTGTGATATGGAGCTATTTTGCACTCTTGAAACTATGAGTTATGGTTCCAGATTGTCTCCTGTAATTAAATCTCTGAATCTACTGAATTTGCAGCTCATTTAAATGAAAAGTCAGATCCCTATTACTAAGCTGAACAAGTCAGAGGATTTTGTGAAATGAAGGATAAAGAAAATTAAGCCTTTAGTTTGCCCTTCCAGGTTTAGAAATCATCTGAAGAGAAAATTATTTCATCATAAATAGCAGAATTTCTTGCCCCTGGATAACTTTGTTACTGTACATATTTTAATAAGCTTCTTCTATAAATATTCAATTCTGTTATCTAAACAGCAAGAAGGATCCAAGTTCAAAACATAGATCTTAAACACGATTTCTCTTAAATTGCTTTATGATAGAAGGATAAGGTATGTTTCTTAATAGTGGAAAAGCCTCAATATAAGAAGGAATTTTAGTCTTGTACATCTAAAGGATGACTTTTTTGTTTTACTTAAAAGATAAATATCTAGCCCGTTTCTTCTTTATCATAGCTATCCTGAAAAAAGAAAGCAATCTACAGTAGCAGTGGCTTTGCTCTGGTTTGTTTATTTAATTTTTCTATTTTCCATGCTCAAACTGACATCTATTTCAAGCTGGCCCATCCTAAGGCGTCTGTGATGAGACTAGGCTACTTGCAGAAGGGACCCTTGACCTTTAGAGCAGGGAAAAAGTTAGTAAAACATTTACATAGGGAACACTCCAATGGGGAAGAACTGCATTTAATCACAGCACAGAAAAGCAAACTGCCATGAATAAAAGTAGGATGGAAGTTGGGAGAAGGCTTACAGCCATCAAAAGAGTGTGGATCTGGAATATTCTTCCATAGGGAATGATAGCAGAACATTTTCCATTTGCTTTAAGCTTGCTTATTTTAAAATGTAGTTTGATCTATCTAGGAGAGGGATTTTATAACTTCCTTGCCTCAGGAGCAAAGGGCTGGATTTGGCACCTAGCAAGACCCTTCCAGTTCTGCATGCCTTCACAGCAACCTGCTAACTGGCTGGCGTACATGTGCAATAACTGCTTTGCCACAGAGACTGCAGTGCTCATGTTAAAACAGGTTCTTACGTAGCCCTAAAACCAATATCACCCAGAAAATGGCACTTTCCGACCACACTATTTGCTGTGAATGCTATGAGAGACAATGAATGAGGGGAGGGATGAGACTGACTCGTAGAATCCTGAGTCACACGTGGCTGCTAAGCCCGCAGGAGCTCAGAAAGGTCAAAACTTGCCCCTGTGGCAGCACCTCTCCACGGGCTGCCCTTCACACACCCCTGGGATGGGTGCTGGTCCCCAGAGGAAGCTTGGCAATAGGATCAGCCCCAGTTCTGCAGAGATCCATGAGCTATCACAGCCCGCACACTCAGTTGTTCTCAGGACAGCCAGACTGCAGCATTTAATCAATTACCCAAGCAGCTTTCTATATTACATTGCATTGCCTTCATTCTGCCTTTAGGTAAAGTGTTATTTCGCATACTGTTGACTGCAGTAAAATTTGAACCACGTACCTGAAGACTGCAATTTGCCCCATTTTTTTAATGGAGAACTTTAGGGTAGGATTTTGAGGGTGAAAAAATGCTGCCATCTGCCAATTACTCTTCGAGCCAGGTGTTTGACCATTCTGTAGTTTAAGTCTTGCTAATAGGGAAATCAAGTCCTGGGAAACAGACTGTGTCTGTAGAATTACATCTGTATAAAATACTTTATGGTCCCTTAATCATTTATGGCTAATTCTGGATGGCAACTGCTGAAGGGGGTGCTGGAAGGGCACATGGAAGCAGGGAGGGAGACCAGTCCTATCTCATTCCACATTTCAGAGAAAACAGATCCAATATCCACTGCTTTGCCAAATAGCCAGTTTAATTTTCACAGACCGTAGGCCTGTACCAGATGTGAATATTGGCTGTGGGCCAGCTTTAAGCAGCAAGAGTGAAACACAGCCACCTCTCCCTTTTCCAGTGTCTTTTCATCAAAGCACATGGGGCTTCATTCAAAAAAAGGAATTTATTAGTGCATGTGAATTCTTCTTGAGGAGAACAGCACTGCCTTGGCCACCTACTTGAGTCAGGACATACGCTCGACGCAGTAGGTGCCCCTGATGCCCAGACAACCTGCTGCTGGCATTTACCATATGTCACTGGCCACAGGCCTGGCAGGGATCAGTTTCTGTGTCTTGAAGAAAGAAAATCTTGTCAGTCAACATACACCTGTCTCAAAAGGGGAAAGGAGTCTGCGCAGGAGTTAGCAGGGCTCACTGAAAGAACTTTAAACTAGATTTGAAAGGGAGAAGGGATAAAACCAGGCTTGCTAGAGAAGCCTGAGGGCAGCATGCCAATGTGTGAGGGATGGTGTGCTAGTGAGGTCCTTGAGTCTGTCATCTCAGTGGAGGAAGGGGATGGAGTAAAACGGCAAAGGTGCAAGGTTTATTGATGTCATAGAAACCACAGAAGCCTCTAGGAATGGTCATGTAGGAATTAGGGCTGTTTCCTCCTGAAAAGTGGCAAGATCAATAGCCCAACTGAAGTGCATCTGCACGAATGGACGCAACATGGGCAGCAAACAGCAGGACCTGGAAGCCATTGTGTAGTGGGAAGATGGTGACATAGTTGCAATCAGACACATGCCAACCCAGTACACTCACACAACTGAGTGCTACACTGGATGGCTATAAACCCTTCAGAAGGAAAAGGCAAGGAAGGAGCGGTGGCTGGGTAACCCTGTATATTAGGGGGTGTTTTGAGCTTGATGATGGTGACAACAGGGTTCAATGTTTATGGACAAAATTGGGGATAAGGCCAACAAGGCAGATATCATGGTAGGAGTCTGTTATAGACTGTCCAACCAAGGCAAAGAGGCAGAAATAATGGTATATAAGCAGCTGTGAGAAGTCTAGCCCTTGTTCTCATTAGGGGCTTCAGCTTACCAGATATGTGCTGAAAATACAATACAGCAGAGAGAGAACAGTCCAGGAGATTCCTGGGTTGTGTGGAAGAGAACTTCCTCACACAGCTGGTGAATGAGCCAACTAGGGAAGGTTCTCTGTTGTCTGTGAACAGAAAAGGATTTGTGGGTGATGTGATGGCTGGAGGCTGTCTGTAGCGATCACAAAATGATAAGAGTTTTCAACTCTCAGAAATAAGGTGCGAGGGTCAGCAGAACTGCCACCTTGAACTTCTGGAGGGCAAACTTTGGCCTGTTTAGCAGACTGGTTGACAGAATCCCTTGGGAGGCAGTTCTGAAGGGCAAAGGATTCCAGAAAGGCTGGGCATGCTTCTTATCTCCTTCTATGACAAGGTGACCTGATTAGTGGATGAGGGAAAGGCTGTGGATGTTGACTTTAGAAAAGCCTTTGACACACATTTGACACAGCATTTTCCTGGAGAAACTGGCTGCTCATGGGTTGGACAGGCATACCCTTCACTGAGGGAAAACTGGCTGGATGGTGAAGCCCAAAGAGTGTTGGTGAATGGAGTTAAACCCAGTTGGTCGAGTGCATCCTCAGAAAGTTTGCAGCACCAAGTTGGGCAGAAGTGTTGGTCTGCTTGCGGGTAGGAAGGGCTCTACAGAGAGATATGGGCAGGCTGAATTGGCCGGTTGAGGCCAGTTGTATGAGGTTCAACAAGCCCAAGTGCTGGGTCCTGCATTGGGATCACAGTAACCCCTGGCAAAGCTACAGGCTTGGGGAAGAGTGCCTGAAAAGCTGCCCAGCAGAAAAGGATCTGGGGGTGTTGGTGGACAGCCGGCTGACCATGAGCCAGCGCCAGCAGGAGTGGGGAAGGGATTGTCCCCCTTTACTCAGCTCTGGTGAGGCCACACCTCAAATCCTGTGTTCAGTTTTGGGCCCGTCATAACAAGAAAGACATTGAGGTGCTGGAGCGTGTCCAAAGAAAGGTAGCGAAGGATCTAGAGCACAAGTCTTGTGAGGAGAGGCTGGGGGGCTGGGCTTGTTTAGGCTGGGGAAAAGGAGGGTGAGGGGGGGCCCTTTTAC